CTTAATATTATTCGTATAATTACCAAAAAAATAAATAAAATTATGTAACAATTGTTAAAAATTAAGTCAATTATATATACAAATACATTACTTACCAATACGTATGACATTATTTGTCCGATGATTGAGCGATGTGTCAAATGGCCGGTCAAACGGTGACGACCTCTGGCCAGTCGTGACGGTAGTAGCCGTCAAACACGTCGACAATATTAGCAACACTAGTGCCGGCATTTTATTTAATAGTTTTTTTGTTTGTCACCAATTGGTTTAAATTATTATTTATTTATTTTTAGTTATTTATTTATTTATTTATTAAGTCATTAATAAATCCGTTTTTGATTTTGTTGTTATTTAGGATTAATGTCTTTACAGTTATTTTTCTGTTATTATTATTATTAGTTATGATAATAATAATAATGTCAAAGACTTCAAAATTATGTGTCCAGTGTTTTGAAGATTTTTTTATCGATAGATATATCTAACACTTTCTGTTTGAAATTATATATGAATTTCATAAAATAAATAAATAAAAAATTATTTATTATATTTATTTTTTTATAGAAGAAACATCTAAACTAAACAAAATTCAAATGTAAAATATAATGTAATGTAAATATAATGTCAAATATAAATAAAAAAAACATATATTTATATAATTATTTCAATAAAAAAAATATTTAAATACTTACTTGTTTATTAATATAAAGTTTATTATTATTATTATTATTATTATTTAATCAAATTTATATATAATAATTATTAATATATTAATAAACTCACAGTTTATTTTTTTAGCTAAACAAAATTAACACACAATTTCAAAAAATTAAAAAACAGTATTATATATATACATGAAAAATCTTTAAATTAAAAATATTGTTTTCCAAACACTACTTCAAACAAACTCATATATAATGACACTATTGTTGTTGTTGTTGTAGTAGTAGTTGTTGTTATTGTCATCACATAAACCCAATGAATAAAGGATTTTTTCAAGAGTATAGTCACATACAATATATATATATATATATATACAGTTAGGTATAAAACAATTTTTAAGGTAATAATAGTAAGCTGTATGTAATGTAACTGTTAGTGATATATATATATATATATATGCTTATAGTATGACAACTAAAAGTTTAAGCATAACTGGTTTACTCTCAACAACAAAACAAAACAAAAAACTATATGAGATTTATTATTATTAGTATTATTATGTATAATATGTTTAGACAACAAAAAATTATGAAAATGTTTTAGTGATTTAAGCGATGCATTTGCCGGTAAATCTCTGTCTGCAATATCTATAACCCGAAAAAAATAACCACTGAATAGACACTGCTATGGAGTGACTGACTGTCAGACTGAGAGAGAGTAAGAGTCGGACTAACTTTTAGTCTGTGCAACGGGTATTCAATTCACTGGCACTGGTAGTCAATATATACAGTATATGCTGTATATATATATTTATATAGAGGAGGACTTTGCTGCCATCGAGAGGATGTGTGGATGATGTCAATCATGGATAAGTATAGTACAATAAAGTGAGTGAGTGAGTGAGTGAGTGAGTGAGTGAGTGAGTGAGTGAGTGAGTGAGTGAGTGAGTGAGTGAGTGAGTGAGTGAGTGAGTGAGTGAGTGAGTGAGTGAGTGAGTGAGAGAGAGGAAGCTTAATATATAAAGTTATTGAGAAGTGGCGTAAAATTATGTATTTTTTTACATTAATCTACCGGTGCTTATACTCTATGTAATATTGATTAGAAATATATTCTATAATTGTTTTGTTTACAAAATTTAAACATAAAAAAATTACAATTTAAATTTGAAAACAATTTTTTGGTGTTTTATTGTAAGAGCTCGTCTTCAATAAAATATAATATATGTTTTGGGCTCCGCATCCCTTAACCCTAAATGTTATGGTGGATCCCACTGTGTGTGTGTGTGTGTGTGTGTGTRTGTATGTATGTATGTATGTATGTGTGTATGTGTGTGTGTGTGTGTGTGTGTGTGTGTGTGTGTGTGTGTGTGTGTGTGTGTGTGTGTGTGTGTGTGTGTGAGTGTGAGTGAGTATGAGTGTGCGTCAGATAACTAAAGCGAAAGATGAAAAATACATTATTATTTAATATATAAATTATATATATATATATATATATATAATACAAATATATATCAATAAATTAATAACTATTATCATATAAACAAATACTATTAAATAAAAGAAACTGATTTTATTTTCTCACTAGAAAATTATGAAATTGAGATACAAAAAAAAATAATGTTTATGTACTGTTAATGTAAAAATTATTTAAATTTCTAATGCATATAAATTAGAGTTTTTCTTTAATTACTTAAATAAATTTAATTACTGTTTTAAAAAATACTACTTAATACTTTATATGTATGTATATATATATGTATGTATGTATGTATATATATAAAATAAATATTAATTTAATTATTTAGTTACATTTACATACATAAAATGTTTTATAATCTATATGTTAATTTATGCTCTTATTAATATTAATAACTCATATAATAAATTATTATAATAATCTGATTTAATATTTTAATTTAAAAATTATTATTTTTTTAATATTTGTAGTAAAAAACATTAAAAATCATATTATAACTATAAGTTATATTGTCAAATATTGTAGTAAATTGGATTTTTAAATATTTATAATCTAACATTAATAATATTTATTTATTTTTTCACTAAATTATTTATTTTAATTAATGGGCAACCAAATTTTTATGCAATTGTTTTTTAGTATTATCATTTAAAAGTAGACTAAATTATTGATTACTTAAAAAGTTTTATGTACAGTATAAGTAAACATTAATAATAATCATAATAACTAATACTTTGTAATAATTATTAAATTTTAACTGTATTAAAAATTTAGAAATTATAAAATCTAGATTTATACTATAAATTAATTGCTACAGATTATGAATAATTAATTAAAAATATAAATTATATTTTTTAAATCATTAATTTAGATTAATTTAGAAACTGAGTAGATTATAATAGATAACCTTAAATATTTTATATATAAATTAATTGTAAATATTTATTTATTTTAAAATAAATTGGTAAATTTTAGAGATCAAATTTATTGTATAATTTATATATTTATATATCTGTATTAGATTTTTAATTTTTAAATTTATAGTTTATATCATTATAATAATAATCTTACAATCAGTACACCAAACAAACTACTAATTAATAATTAAGAAATTATTTTATTTAAAAAAATTAATAAAATTATTACATAGTATTAGATAACTTGTTAGAAATAATTAAAATTTTATTTTTCACATTATTGTTAAACAATAAAAAAAATTATCTAATAATAACAATATGTTATATTAGATAAATTAGTACTTTTTAATTAATTTTTTATTTTTGGTCAAATGTAAGCATAAAACTAAAATTGTCTAAAATGTCAATTTAACATAAAATTATGCTTACCTGGGTACAATTGTAAATTATATTATAGTAGCAAACACTTACACACACACATACAGTATTATATAATAAAACCAACAATTATAGGATTGCCAAACATTGCGGTCACCAGAGATTAACAATTTTGAAATCAATTTTATTGATTGTGACAAATATTTTATATACTATTATAAATATAAATTTATATATCATATAAAATTTATATATAGTGTACATTATATACATAAATTATAAATTGTTTACTATATGTATATTTATTTTTGAAAATATTTATTACATCAATATAAACTATTAATTAATTTTAATTATAACAAAAATGTAAAATAAATAAATGACAATTAATATTTTTATAAATTAATAGAAACTTATTTGCAACAATAATTGTGACAATAATGGTGTTAATTGAGTTAAATTTTGTTTAATTAGTTATTTTCAATTAACAAACATATTATTATTTAACAAAAATATTTCAGTCATTGTATAATTTTTATTTATATAAATGATTGGCAATTTTAAACTGAAATAATTAATTTTATAATTACAATTACAATTTGTTAAATATAAAACAACAAAACAATTAATTTAATTAAAGCCAAAACATTTAGATTAAACAAAAAAAGTTTTTGTTTAACAAAATTTTCCGAAATTCTATAAATAATAAAATTCAATTAACATTTATCGCTAAAATTTTTTGATAGACACAAACAATATTTGCAATTAACTATAATTATAATTTATACATTTAACATAATTTATATATAAATATACCAATTAAAAATAATAACAACAAATATATACATAAATATATATTTAGTAAATTTAATATATATATACACTATATATACAATACAATTAATTATTATGATTTTACTTTTATTATAGGATATATTGGACAACTATTTTTACCGTTTTGTTAATAATGGGCTGATAAATGTCAGTCAAAATTATTATTTTATTAAATGCTTAAAATAGTGTAAAAGAAAGAGAAGAGAGAGAGAGAGAGAGAGAGAGAGAGAGATAAGTGAAGTAAATACATCTTTTTAATTAAAATAATTAGCATTTAGACAATGGTTTTTAAAACACTAGCTATTTGTTGTTTACTATTTTTATTTTATGTTTTAAATATATATATAGTGTTTAATAGATTAGTTGGACATTACATATATATTTATAAATAATAGAGAATATTCTCTATGGAATATTCTTTACAATACATTCAACTTACAATAATTTACTCTAAAATTACCCAAAAAGACTAGAAAACATACACACAAATTGAGCATAAATTAAAAATATTTTTAAACATATATTTAAATATAAAATACTACACTACATACAGTAAATAAAATAAATTAATAAATAAAATAGTTATATATGTATTTAATATGTGTATATAAATATTAGACATATTAGTTGAGAGTTATTATAATAACATATTAAAAATATATATATAATAATATGTCATATTGTTTGTAATAATAATAATAATAATAGCAACATAAAATGTATAAAATAATTGTCATTTATAATAATAGTTGTAATATAATGTCTATTTTTAGTAAAATTAATATAAATGTCCCAGTTAATTATACTGTAATATTATATCCTAATGTAACTATTAATATAATGCTACTACAATAAAGTAAAGATATTGTATACATAATAATATTATAGGTTATTAAAAAATAAAAATTTTTAATATAATTTTATATTAAATACATAAATTATATTTTTTTAGACTTATGTTATTGTAAATTAGTGTATATATTAATATTATACGATTTATATATCAAAAAATTATATCAAAAAACTTTTTAATCTATTACAGATTTACAATTATTGAAAAATAATGAAAAAAATAACAACAATAAAAAAATAAAAATAATAATAATAATAATCATTTGATAAAATTTTATATCACAATAACATTAACAACAACAACAAAAAAATTGTTGATATGATGTGTTGGCGTAAATGACATGATTTATGTGACAAAAATGTTTTTCACACCAAAATGCATAACTATGTGACCAATAAATCATTTGCCATTAACTCTCTCTCTCTCTCTTTCTCTCTCTCTCTCTCTCTCTCTCTCTCTCTCTCTCTCTCTCTCTCTATCATCACTACTAAAGTCCCGCACATTAGTGTCTATACAATGAAAGAGAGAGAAAAACATAAAAAATATCAAATTAAATGTCAAAACTATAATAGCATTCAATGGGGTCATCCTAGTTGTAAATATTACCATTTTGTAAATGTACAGTATATACATATATATAGGCCTAATTTTTACACATTATATCACATTGAAATAAATTTATGTTGCTAGAAAAAAAATATTCAAAAATATGTGCATGTTGATTTTTTTATATTAAATTTTTATTTTAACTTTTTCTTGTATTTATTATACAGTATATTTTAATCAATAACTGATAAATATATTTATTACATTTTGTTTTTATTTTGTACACAAAAAATAATAATAAATGACTGTAGTCTCAATAATGAATATAAATTTTTTAGCATTGATAAATATTATAAAACTAAATTTATTTACTAAAGGATATACTCTAATTAAAATGTTTTTAAATATCAATAATATAAATAATATAAACTTGTAATTTTGATAAAATCAAAACAATATATATATATATTACAGACAAAATAATTTGATTTTTGAATATTATATATATACAGTACAACACTTACTGACATCACAACAATAATAAGACTCCTTAGATGCCACTCATTGTTAACTTTTATATATAATAATAATAAAAAAATATCACCAAAAAATATTTATATAAATTTTTATACTTTTATATATGTGTGACACTTATGCCATATATATACGTATATATATATAACAATAGATTTTTTTTGTTAGTGAGCTGAGAGTAGTAGACGTGTGTATGAAATCCTAATCACTAAAAATTTAATTCATTGCTCTCTCTCTCTCTCTCTCTCTCTCTCTCTCTCTTTCTCTTTCTCTGTAAAACTTTGTCTTTTTTCATAAATATATAATATTCATGTATAAAATATATATAAATATATATATTTATATATATATATATATATCTCACATGTCATAAACTATAGCATTGATTGTCATTTTTCTGTTTTATCTGTTATTCAAAATAAAAGTTTGTTTTATTTTATGTTTGATTTTTTGTTGTTGTTATACTGTATGTATGATGTATTTATGCTATACTGATATATACACAATCTCTCTCTCTCTCTCTCTCTCTCTCTCTCTCTCTCTCTCTTAATATATTTTTTGAGACATAAAATGCATAACACTATAAATGTAAAATACAATATACAGAATATTGTATGTGTTTAAAATATATACATAAAATATTTTGTAATTTTAACCTTTTAATATATAATGTGGAAAAAATTAATTAATTTGAAAAACAATAATATTATTTTAAAAAATGATCTTAATATATGTTAAAATTAAAAAAAGTTACTCAAAAATTTTCTCATACTTGATATTAAAATTTTATAGGTGATATAAAAATATATTTAAATTTTAAAAAATATACTTTTAGCTTGTAATTAAAAAAATTTAAAAACTATTTTAACTTTAAAGTATACAGTAGTGATAATATTTAAAATCTATAAATCATTTTTATATTATTTTTAATAAATGATTAGAATTTTAAAAATATTAAAAATAAAACTGTAAAATAACTAATAGTTTAATTTAAAAATTGTTTTGTTTTGTTTATTAATACTATAATTAATAATTATATTAAATAATTAAAAAAATATTAAAAAACTAATACAGTAATAAAAATGAGTGATGATTGGGTTTGAAAACAATTTACCCATATTTTTATCAGTAATTATTAATCAACAAATAGACTAAATTAATAAATAATATAAATATAGGAAAAAATATGTTTATGAGTTTTTAAATATATATTATTTAGACATCTATATAAATCCATATAAATATTAAATAAAACAATAAAATATTTAATAGTGTATTAATTATTTATTACTAATAAATATAAAAATTATTTTGTTTTGTTTATTAATACTATTATCACTATTAAATAATCTATTTTATAATTATAATTTTATTATATAATATTAAAATAATTTTTTAAATAATAAAATAAATTATAAAAACTAATATTGCAAGTGTTGGAGTTTGTAGGGGTATATACTGTATAATACTGTATATATATCAAATACAATATGTACAGTATATATATATTTTTTATTTACAGACAACACTTTCTATATATTGCTAAATATTTAATATTATTCATATGTAAAAAATAATAATAATATTGTATAATATTATGCATTGTATATTTGATATTAAAATTTTATAAATGATTGATAAATATATTTATATTTAAATATAATGTTAGCTTTTAATTAAAAAAAATATTTAAAAACTATTTTAACTAACACTTATAGTTTAAAATATTTAATAAAACAATAAAAATATTTAATAGTGTATAAATTATTTATTACTAAGAAACATATAAATTATTTTTATTGTTTATTAATACTATTATCACTATTATATAATCTATTTTATAATTATAATTTTATTATATAATATTTAAATAATTTTTTAAATAATAAAATAAATTATAAAAACTAGTATAGCAAGTGATGGAGTTTGTAGGGGTAGTAATGATTTGGGTTTGAAAACAATTTAATTAAAAGTTTACCCATACTTTTTATCAGTAATTATTAAGCAACAAATAGACTAATTAATAAATCATATAAATATAAAAATAAAATATATTTATGAGTTTTTAAACATATATATATATTAGACATCTATAATTAGTAAAGGGGTGACAACATTACAGACGACTAAAACAAATATTATTAGCATTTTATAAAAAATAACAATTAAAATAGGAATTAATATAATATAATAGTCTTTAAGATTACATTTCATAAAATTTATTTATACAATATATTAATATTTATATATTTATTATTTTCAATTAAATAATATTTAAAAAAACTAATTGATTTGTATGTTTTTTTAAAAAAATATTAATATATTAAACCAATATATTAAAATTTCATTTACGTATTTGATTGCAAAATAATATATATATATAGAAAAAATCTGTGCAAATTTAATTTTTTTAAAAAAGTATTAATAAAATTTTTTAATATTTAATTAATATTTTTTGCGTTCAATAAAATATAATAGTATAGAATCTATAGTATAGAAAATTTGATTTAAATTTTAAAGTTGAATACAATATTTTATTATAATCTATTATAAATAAAATTTCATAAAACAATGTCTAAAATAAAGTTAATTATGCAATTACCATGGTTAGTTATAATATTGGCAATAGTATCAAGTCAATTTAACAATCTTGTAAAATGTGACAATAATAACACCATCAATAACTATAATTACAATAATCTCAACAACAATAGCGGCATTAATGTCAACAACAATAGCGGCAATAATGTTAACAACAATATCGGCAATAATCTCATCAACAATAGCGGCAATAATGTCAACAACAATAGCGGCAATAATGTTAACAACAATATCGGCAATAATCTCATCAACAATAGCGGCAATAATGTCAACAATAGCGGCAATAATGTCAACAACAATAGCGGCAATAATGTCAACAACAATAGCGGCAATAATGTCAACAACAATAGCGGCAATAATGTCAACAACAATAGCGGTAATAATGTCAACAACAATAGCGGCAATAATGTCAACAACAATAGCGGTAATAACCTAAACAACAATAGCGGTGATAATCTAAACAAAAACAAATCTATATTTCCTGATTTACCTCCAATTCCAATATTAACATCTAAGGTAATCTAAATAATAATACTAAATATATTTATTTACACTATAAATAAAAATTAATTAATTAAATTTTAATCGAAAATTGCTTAGTTTATTCAATCAACAAAAAAACCAAACAATAATTTTATATTTAGATTTATAAAACAAAAAAATATTAATAATAATTTACTAACTAAACTTATTAGACTTATTAAATTAATTATTTATTAAAGCCATATATATATATTTAAAAAAAGTTATGTATAATTTCTTAAAAAATTTCTATTATATTATTAAATAAATTTATTTATAAAATAAAATTGTTACCAAACACTGCTAATCATAGATGACTGGACAGTGGTATGCAATTTACGGATCAAATCCTAAAGAGTATAGACATTTGGTTATTGAAAACATAATCGGAAGTAATCCACCGGAATTAATACTAAAAATGAGGTAAATTTATATTTTTTTAAAAAAAATCAATTAGATAATAATTTTTAAATAACTAAAAATTAATATTTTTATAATATTTGTTTAAAAAACAATTTGTTTTTAAATAACTTTAAATTCTGAAATATTTACATATAAATTTAAATACATTTATATTGTATATACCAGCCATTATCACTCAAGTGATTTCTGATTACTTTTGATTAAAATGCACTGTCGAAGCTTATGGTTTATTATAATATATTTGATCTAGCTCAAATAAACTGTTACATATTTATTTTAATTAAGTAGTATATCTAATTTAATATTATATAAAAATGGTTATTTAATTTATGTATTATAAACTCTATATCAGTGGATATCAGGATAGTGATTTTTAATTGTTTTATTAAAATATATTTAATCTAGCTCAAATATATATTATATACAAATATACACTGTTATATATTTTTTAATTTTTTAATTACTCTTATTTAGATTAAGAATTTTTTTGTAACTCAATAGTATATAAAATTAGATATTAAATTTATGTTTTATAATTTTTTTTAATTTTTATCTTGGTCAGTAATTATGTTTTTAAAATGAGGGATCGTATAATCATTTGATAACGCCTGGTATATATTGTATAGTATAGTATATTAATATATTGTATATATATAGAACAGTATATATAGTAATTAAATAAATATAATTAGTTTGTAAGTATATATATATTATTTTTGTAACTTATATATATATATATATATATATATATAATATTTTTATTATACTATTAATTTATAGTTGCTTATTTGATTATTTTTGTTAAAAAAAATAAATAATTACATTTATCACATTTTTTAAATAAAAAAAATACAGTAGTGCACCAAGTTATCAAAATATTACTGGATATACAGTATTGGATAACAATGAGAATATATTTGTTACCTATGATGACGGTATGAGAGTCTACTACTATATACTTGAATACGATTCTGAACGCTATTTTGCGATGTATGCAATGCCAACCAATAAAAGAGGTATTAAATTATATATACTATATATATATATATATATATATTTCATATCATCATATAATATCATATTTCCCCCCCTCCCCCATGTATTAGGTGGTCTAATAATCTATTCCCGATCCGAACAAACCGTACCCGAAAATACTAGACTTATGAACAAAATTTACAGATCATTGGATCGTTTGGGTTTTAAGAGTGATTTAAAACAACTACCAAAACTACAACCAAAACTACAACCAAAACCAAAACCTATTATTATAAGACATGAATGAATTACGACACTACACTATACTATAGCATTTAATAGCACCAGTAGTTTGAATTATATATAAACAGTTATTTATATTTATATAATTATATCTATATAAAAAAATATTTTTTCAATATGTAATTATCTAATTACATAATCTTGTGCTAAATGTTATGTTTGAAAATAAAGTGTATTTACCATATAATTTATTTAACAATAATAAAAATTTTAAATTAATATAAAGTTTGTCTTAAAAATTATTTTTGTAACAAATTACAGGTATAGATAAATAACAACAAAAATACTTAACTAGTTTTAGTTTTTAAATATAATAATGATATAAAATATATATATACGCAATGTATGTAATAAATTGATGATTATCATACAAATATTCAAATTGATAAATAGTTATTAAAAAAAACTATATTAACTTTTAGAGAATTAGATATAAAATTTAATTTTTATATAATAAAACTTAAGATATTAATAAGATATTATTGTAATTTATTTAATATAACTTTATATTTTTATTTATTTGTTAACATTATCTATTAAAAGATTAGCAAATATTTATAGAATTAAATGTAATTATTTTTAAAAAATTTAATTGATAAATACTCTATATATATCTAATACAATATGTACAGTATATACATATTTTATTTACAGACAACACTTTCTATATATATATATATTGCTAAATATTTAATATTATTCATATGTAAAAAATAATAATAATATTGTATAATATTATGCATTGTATATTTGATATTAAAATTTTATAAATGATTGATAAATATATTTATATTTAAATATAATGTTAGCTTTTAATTAAAAAAAATATTTAAAAACTATTTTAACTAACACTTATAGTTTAGAATATTAAATAAAACAATAAAATATTTAATAGTGTATAAATTATTTTTATTGTTTATTAATACTATTATCACTATTATATAATCTATTTTATAATTATAATTTTATTATATAATATTAAAATAATTTTTTAAATAATAAAATAAATTATAAAAACTAATATAGCAAGTGATGGAGTTTGTAGGTGTTAGAGATGTGCAAATAGAAAGTTTCTAGAAAATTTCTCAGGAATAAATTTCTATAGAAATTTAACTTTATCGTTATACTATGGGATCCCCATATCTAGTTATTGTAATATTATAGATAAAATATTATACTATAGAGTATATACTTTACAGTACTATACAAATGTTATAACTATATATAAAATAATTATAATTATTTAATAATAATTAATTTTGTAAAATTGTATTCATCATTTTTATTATATATATCATACTGTAGTTTAATTAATTAATTTGTTACTTTAATTAATAATTAAAATAATAATAATAATATTTACGGTAATGTATTATTATATGATAGCAATATCGAGATAACAAAATTAAAATGGGGATCCCATAGATAGAAATTTCTTTTAGAAACTTTCTAGAAATTTCTCTATTATTTTATAAATTTCTCTTTTTTGCCAACACTACTACACACCTACTAGGTGTAGTAATGATTGATGGTTTGAAAACAATTTAATTAAAATTTTACCCATACTTTTTATCAGTAATTATTAAGCAACAAATAGACTAAATTAATAAATCATATAAATATAGAATTAAAATATATTTATGAATTTTTAAACATATATTAGACATCAATAATTAGTAAAGGGGTGACAACATTACAGACATCTAAAAAAATTAATATTATTAGCATTTAATAATTAGTTTGACAAATAAAATAGCAATTATTATAATATAATAGTCCTTAAGATTACATTTCATAAAATTTATTTATACAATATATTATAATTTATATATTTATTATTTTCAATTAAATAATATTTTTTTTAAAAAAAACTAATAGATTTGTATGTTTTTTAAAAAATAAAATATTAATGTAATAAACCAATATATTAAAATTTCATTTAAGTATTTGATTGCAAAATAATATATATATAGAAAAAATCTGTGCAAATATAATTTTTTTTAAAAAGTAATAATTAAAAATTATTAATTTTTAATTAATATTTTTTTGCATTCAATAAAATATTATAAAAGTATAGAATCTATAGTATAGAAAATTTGATTTAATTCTTAAAGTTGAATACAATATATTATTATAATCTATTATAAATAAAATTTCATAAAACAATGTCTAAAATAAAGTTGATTATGCAATTACCATGGTTAGTTATACTATTGGCAATAGTATCAAGTCAATTTAACAATCTTGTAAAATGTGACAATAATAACACCATTAATAACGCCATTAACAACTATAGCGGCAATAATCTCAACAACAATAGCGGCAATAATATCAACAACAATAGCGGCAATAATCTCAACAACAATAGCGGCAATAATATCAATAACAATAGCGGCAATAATATCAACAACAATAGCGGCAATAATCTCAACAACAATAACGGCAATAATCTCAACAACAATAGCGGCAATAATCTCAACAACAATAGCGGCAATAATATCAACAACAATAGCGGCAATAATCTAAACAAAAACAACTCTATGTTTCCTGATTTACCTCCAATTCCATTATTAACATCTAGGGTAAAAAATAATATTTATTTACACTATAAATCAAAATTAATTAAATCAATTTTAATCGAAAGTTACTTTCAAGTCTATTTAATAAAAAAACAAAAAATAATTTTATATTATAATTTATAAAAAAATAATATTAATTAAATAACTAAACTTAATAGACTTAATTAATTAATAATGATTTATGAAAGCCATATTTATATATATACTAAAAAAAGTTATTTATAATATCTTAAACGAATCTCGTTTATATAATTAAATAATTTTTTTTATAAAAAAAATTGTTATCCAAACACTACTAATCATAGATGACTGGACAGTGGTATGCAATTTACGGATCAAATCTTAAAGAGTTTAGACATTTGGTTATTGAAAAAGTAATCGGAAGTTATCCACCGGAATTAATACTAAAAATGAGGTAAATTTATATTTAAAATAAATAAATTTTAATAAGATATTAATTTTGAAATATATATATAGAATAGTATATACAGTAATTAAATAAATATATTTAGTTTGTAAGTATATATATATTAAATTTTTGTTACTTATATATATATACAATATTTTTATTATACAATTAATTTATAGTTGCTTAATTTATTATTTTAAAAAAAAATATTATATTATTACATTTATTATTTTTTAAAAAATAATAAAATACAGTAGTGGACCAAATAGACAAAATATGACTGGATATACAGTATTGGATAACAATAATTATATATATGTTACCTATGATAATGGTATGAGAGTCTACTACTATGTACTTGAATACGATTCTGAACGCTATTTTGTAATGATGTTTACACCGACAGTCAATAAAAAAGGTATTTAAATTATATATATATATATATATTAATTGATTAACTTAGTTGTATGATACTAATATATATAATATACATATACAATTTATGCCACTTAAAAAATTTAAATTTTAGTAATATTACATAATGCTACTGGTATTGTAATATGATACTATGATAATAAGGTACTATATATAACTAATAGCTATAGCTGTATAAGCTAACTGTATACTAATTTACTAAATTAACTAATTGGCATTATCTGTATAATTATATTGATATATATATATACATTTCAATAATATCCCATTTCCTTCCCCCATGTATTAGGTGGTCTAATAATCTATTCCCGATCCGAACAAACCGTACCCGAAAATACTAGACTTATGAACAAAATTTACAGATCATTGGATCGTTTGGGTTTTAAGGGTGATTTAAAACAACTACCAAAACTACAACCAAAACCAAAACCAAAACCAAAACCTATTATTATAAGACATGAATGAATTACGACACTACACTAAACTATAGCATTTAATAGCACCAGTAGTTTGAATTATATACAAACAGTTATTTATATTTATATATTTTTTCAATATGTAATTTTCTAATTACATAATCTTGTGCTAAATGTTATGTTTGAAAATAAAGTGTATTTACCATATAATTTAATAACAATAATAAAAACTATAAATTTTAAATTAATATAAAATTTATTTTGTAAAAATTATTTTTGTAACAAAATATTGATAAATAACAACAAAAATACTTAACTAGTTTTAGTTTTTAAATATAATAATGATATAAAATATATATATACTTAATGTATGTAGTTAATTGATGATTATTATACAAATATTCAAATTGATAAATAGTTATTAAAAAAACTATATTAACTTTTAAAAAATTAGATATAAAATTTAATTTTAATTTAATAAAACTTAAGATATTAATAAAATATTATTGTAATTTATTTAACATAACTTTATATTTTTATTTATTTGTAAACATTATCTATTTAGATACATTTACAAATATTTATAGAATTAAGTGTAATTATTTTTTAAAAATTTAATTTTAAAATATTTATAAAAATAATTTATAGTTTTTTTTGTTATTTATATCTATTAAATAACTACCTGTATTTGTATTTTTGTTGTTTTATATTATTTAGTTATTTTTTTCAAAATAAGTGATATAGATTTTTTTAAGTTGAAAATTTATAATTTTGGTTTTGCATACAATTGTAAGTGATTATAAATAATGGATAAATACTATATATATATATGCAATACAATATGTACAGTAAATACATATTTAATTTACAAAAAACACTTTTATATATATATATCTATATATATTTTTTGCTAAATATTTAATATTATTCATATGTAAAAATAATAATAATATTGTATAATATTATGCATTGTATATAAAAAAATACACTTTGCATTTCAATAGACAGATAAAGTTCACATAGATTTTTGCTATTTATTAATACTTATATGCTATTATGTATCATAAATACAGTACTGTATACTACAATATATATATATATTTACATAACAGTGTATCTAGATATTGATATATATATAGAGTATATATATATATATATAATATAAAAAATATATATATTAAATACATAGTATATAATATTGAATATACATATATCTATCTATATCTATATGTGTAGTGTATATTTGCAAGCGATTTAATGATATGATTGCATGACTGAACAAAACAATTCATATTTAATGTCTCAGAAGTGCACCGAAAATAAAATCAAAAGAAATACACAAAAAAAATAGATATAAATAAAAGAAAAGAGAAATAAAGAGATAAAATAATAGAGAATTATAAGAATATTCTGCTATAGAAATGTATATTATTTTATATATAAATATATATAACAATAAATCTATAAAAATATTTTATTAATAAATAACAAAAAAACAGTGTATATCTGTTTTTTAATAAAATTATTATCATTATTATCAGTTGTTTTTTGTTTTGTTTGTTTGTTTATATATTATATGTAATAATATATAGTGTATAAATTTTTAACAAAAACAAATAAAACACATAAAAAACAATTTGTAAATTATTATTATATAAACTGAAAATAAATGTTATTTTTTATTTTATCTGAGATAAACAATAATTATTGTTGTTTAAATGTTTATTATTTTTTAATAACATTGCAAATTGTTAACAATAAAAATAACATTTGTAATATTAATTTATCATATATTTTAATTGTTAATTTAAAAACATGTATAAAAACAAAATTATTAAATTAGAAATACATATGAATAATATATTAAAATACATAACATTAATATATATATATATATATATACAATACATTAATATTTTATTATATTAATGATATAATTATAATTTGTTTAATTTTTATTTATATAATATCGTTTAATAATAAATTATTTTTTAATAACTATTCTAATCACTAAATTAGAGATTAATTTTTAACTTTAATATAAGTTTTTTTTGACAATACTATTTTTATATAGTAAACTATACAATTCAAAACTACTGGTGCACTCTATAATTATTGCATAATAATAGCAAAATATAAAATAAAATACTATATATACAATATATACTATACTAAACTTAGTTATCGATGTTATGTTGCGATTGCCATACAAAAGATGACAGTTGTTGTTTGGTATATGTGATGGTATATACAGTATATATGAGTATTGGTGTTGAATCGGACCTCCTGTTCCCAAACAAACACACATAACATAACATTTAGCTATAATTCATAGAATAAAAAATAGTTATTAAAAAAATTTAATTTAATAAAAATTAAAACTTGAAATCTCTATTGAAAATTGAAAATTATATATATATATAATTATCAGGGTTGCGAAAGGTTTTCGATCTAAGGGGGGTATAGGGTGGGGTAAAATGTCAAAATTTTTGAAAAAGCTTGGGGGGGTATAGGGGGGGGGGGGTGAACAATTTTTATTGCATTTTTAAACGACAATTTTTCCCAAATTTGAGTAAATTCCCAATAAATTCCCAATAAATTCCCACTAAATTCCCAATAAATTCCCAATAAATTCCCAATAAATTCCCACTAAATTCCCACTAAATTCCCATTAAATTCCCACTAAATTCCCAATAAATTCCCACTAAATTCCCAATAAATTCCCAATAAATTCCCAATAAATTCCCACTAAATTCCCATTAAATTCCCACTAAATTCCCATTAAATTCCCATTAAATTCCCATTAAATTCTTCATAATTTCTCACATAAATTTCTTAAAAAAGGAAAATATTCCAACTTAATTTCTTAAGACTCAAAATATATTTTCAATATTATTTTTACAATATTAAAAAATGAAATTTTACATAATATATATAAGATAAAAACAATTACTATAATTACTTGTCTACTATTTAATTAATTATTTACAATGTTGTTAAAATTAATGATATTGTAGTGAATTTATTGTCTTAAAAAATTAAATTGTAATTTAGTTAATTTAATTAGTAATTATTAAAAAATCTGAAAAATACAGATCAATTTGTTTATTAAGTAGCATAAACAATTATTATAAATTTATAAAATAAAAACATCAATATTTTTTTGATAATTGGAGGGAATTTATTAAGGGACTATCCACCCTTGAAATGCCCCAACTCTAAATAGTTTTTTTAGTACTTAACAAATTTATATTTATTTATTTTCTAAAGATAAGCTATTTATTTATATTAAAACTCAATTAGTATTTATATTTTTGTTTAATATTAAATTTTACATAAATGAAAAAAATTTCTTGAAAATTGGTGGGAATTTATTAGGGAACTAGTGGAGTGCCCCAAATGGTGTAAATAATGTTAAATTGATGTAATTAAGTATTTTTATCTATTTATTTTGTTAAGATAAGCTATTTATTTATATTAAAACTTAATAAAGTATTTATATTTTATTTAATTTTAAACTTTACACTAATCAAAAAAATTTTCGGCGCCTTCGGCGCCGAAAATTGGTAGGGGGCCCCCTAACTTTTTGGCTTTAGGCCAGGGGGGGGTAAAACCTAAAAATCTCGACCTCAGGGGGGGGTAAGATGTTTATTTAATATGAATTATTTAATTTTTATTAATAAATAATAACTAAAATAAAATTTAATATTATTAAATTACTTGTTTCTTAATTTATTTAATATTGAATATTATATATAAATCTATAAAAATTTATTAATCTAATATTAAATTAATTATTTTTCTAATTTTAGAATAATAATACTAATAAAATAGCCAATGAATTATAAATTTATTTTTTTAATTATTTAGTATAATTTTTTTACAGTCTATAGAAATTTTTAAAAATAAATAAATATATGATATTTATAAAATTTATAATAAACTATAAGATTTAAAACTACTGGTGCTCTCTACTATTATTATTATTACAAAAATAATAGCGAATACCGGTATTAAATATATTTTTAAATAAAATATATACTAAAAAAAATCAGTTATCGATATAATGTTAGGATTACCATACAAGAGATGACAGTTAAGTCGATTTTATTTTATAATAATAATAATAATAATAATAATAATTATTATTATTATTATTATTATTATTATTATTATTATTAATACAAACTATATAAAATCTAGTCTTCTAAAGGGCTGTAGAATACTGTAATACCAGTGCTCTAATGGTTAGGGATGGGTAACTAGAAAAGCTAACTGATTCAATATACCCCCCTTTTAAATATATATTATATACTGTATTGTATAGCAATGGCATTGAAAGCACAATATCCTTGTTATACTAAAATAAAAAAAAATAAATAATAAGTGAATGGTGTCGGCATTCATAGATAGGGCACTAGTAGTAGTAGTTGTAGTTATTGTTTGGGTAGTTTGCAGTAAGCAGTTAGTGGATTGTTAATGTTTGTTGACGATAATGTTGGATGTGATGGCATATATATATATATACAGTATATATATATGAGTATCGGTACTGAATCGGTGTGCGCGCCGACAGTCAGTTCCCAAACACATACACACAAACCATAACATTCACAGCGTGTTTCTCCAAGTTATAAGTCAGCTATCATTCATAGGATAGACATCTCTATCTTTAAACATACTCTCTCTCTCTCTCTCTCTCTCTCTCTCTCTCTCTCTCTCTCTCTCTCTCTCTCTTTCTCTCGCAAAGACTATAAGTCACTCATCCCTTAAGCAAACAGATAGTGTGTTTGTGTGACACTGTGTTATATAACAGACAGACACCACACACACACATACACACAGTGAGTGACAGTTTAAAAACCAGTCATCACTTATTATTATTATTCAAAATATGTGATTATAATATCAGTGTTTTAAAAATTTTAATAAACAAAAAAATAACTTTAAACATTATTACTAAATAATTATATTCTGGAAAAATTACAGTTTAATTAATATAATTAATTAATCATTAATTTTTTTTATTGTTAATAATAATAATATTGTTGAAAATTTTATGTCTGTGTATATATTAATATAAATATAATAAATTTTAATAATAATAATATGTTAGTGTATACTGATAGTCAACATTTG